ATGATGTGTTTCATTCCCATTGTCTATTGTCTGTAACTTATTACAAACATAGAACTGGTAGTAAATTGAAGATTATATATATTATATATATATATATATATGTATATGTATGTACTGTATATATTGCGTATGTTTATGTATATATATATATGTTGATGTATTGTTATGTTTTATGTACTCTCTCCTGGAAGTATAGCTGTCACCCTCGGTTGGGCAGCTAAAGGAGAGTTTTAACTTAATAATTTAGTGGAATTTGGGCAGCTAACATGTACCAACTTCAGTGTGCTGAAGCCTTGGCAAGAACAGGTTTGAACTGCCTGAATCTGGATCCCAGTCCCACCCAGTCTGGGTCGACAGCCGCTAGGCCCATTTTCGGCATGCTGTGAACTTTGGCTGCAAACATCTTATTTCAATTGTAATAGCTGTAACTTATTACTTATTATTAGTTAAATCTTCCCAGCATTTGGGTCTGTTACTAGGTTAGACCCAATGATGCAACTGTCCACTACACACAAGCAAGGACAAGATGAAATGGATATGTATCAAGCTAATATTTTACCATTGACAATGTAAATGTGATTTTCTTTCTTTCTTTATTGACATTGACAACAGGTCAAGACACAGGTTATCAAGGCATTAGATAACCCACATGTACAGACGTACAGACAAACATGAAATAAGAAATCAATTATAGATACAAGACCTGAAATAAAGATAACATATTAACTGGTTACAAGTTACAATACTAACGTTACATGTATAATACACAATATGAGAAAATCAAGACATTCCTTTTGTGAAGTTAAGTTGCATGTTACTTGCATGTGACTCAGTCACATGTGGCATGAGTATCACATGTACTTCAAGCATCACAAAATTCAACACTTATGTCCACTTCTGTCATGTCACACGTACACAAACACAAGCAGACCCCGATCACATGGCATTTGTTTTGCTTGTTCAACCTTGGGGACCTCCAGGGGTTACGTAAACATCCAGCCTGACCAACCAGAGGCACGCATTACGGCCACGCCCACCCCACGTGAAACCTGATCCCACCACAACATAAACAACTTGTCCACGCGGCCAGAATGAACTGGTCAAAACCGGCTCCGGGCTTCAGCTTCACAACAAAAATTTGCTGATCTAGCTAGCTGCTAGCTGGGATGCAGAATGATATGATGTGGCGCAATATACTTTGAAAAGCTGCTGATGCAGATTAAAAACTAAAATGTTGTCTCAGCCATCTGAATTTTTCATTTTCGATCGAGCAAGCAAAATTATCGATGCGTCGCCGTGTCATTAAAAGTAGCAGTGAAACTGAAAATAATCTCCAAGCAGAGGTTATATAGGCTTCAATTATTTCTTATTTCTGTCTTTTTAGGCGTTTTTGACAGCCTTTTTTCAGTATCTTTTTTCGCCAGCATGTGTTGACGTTTTGGATACTGCGTTGCTGGCCTCAGCGCCAAAATTATGTTGAGGTCTTGTGGATCTAGCCACCAAATGATCGATTTGGTTGGGAATGAAAATAACGGTCACACCTACATGTACCCAGTACCACAAGCCACATCTATGACATGGTGATCTAGCTGGGCTGCAAAATAATTTGATGTGGCGCAGTACTTTAAAAAGCTGCTGATATAAAATAAAAATTATTATGTTGATCTGCAACAATCCGGTGTCTTGTTTAAGCCCCCAAAAGATGAGAGGCCAAGTGTTCAGTATTTTCACTTAGAAGTGTCAAGGACTGGAATTCACTACCAGCAAAACAGTGAACCAGTTCAAGACTAATCTGGATAAGTACTGGACGCACCTCAAATATTCAAGCACGTCGGAAGCGATTAATAGAACAGTATGCGGCGGTATCAAGGCAAATTTACAGATCTATCTGGTTGGGAATGAAACTAACGGGAACACCTACCCAGTCCCGCAGGCCACGTCCAGGACATGTTGGCAGCCGTTGTCCCTTAGGGTCTGACAGATCCACTGCCGATAGGTGTCCGTGCGGCTGGACACGCTGCCAATGTACAGCTGCCATACCCGGGCAGCCTTCCCGTCCGCGTACTGATCCGGCAGACCCGAGGCACCCACGCCGAGAGAACGCGTACGGTACACGCTGTCAACCATCGCGATTTATGCTTCAAAATCTGCACAACTTGGCTTGGAAAATAGCTGCGTAAAGTACGAATCTTAAGCTCGTTTTGTACTACAAATCTGTACAAACTGGCTTAGAAATAGCCGCGTAAAGTACGTTTAATCTACGGGCTTGCGTACCCTGCCTGAGTCGACTGCTACGTTTTTGAACAACAGTCCCTATCCGGGTTGTGTCAACAAATATACTTGACCCTTGACCTACTGGTAAATTCCAAATCACTAAAGGGGTGTGGTACAGGCACAGTATTTTGAAAATGGCGCAAAAGATTACAATTGTAATTTGAAAATTGTGTTAAATAACGTTATATAGTTATTTTATGTAATGTGTATCCTTAGTTTAGTACATTTTGAGGTTTAAAATCTTGCACTCGGTGAACATTATAATCTGACACTCCCGTCAAGGTTTTGGTACGACCGTGACGTCATAGAATCGATGCCCTGCCACTGAAAAGCTCCCCCTATCTACTCTCCAAGCAGAGGTTGTGGGGGAATGATCGTTACATTTTTATATATGGCCGTTTTTTTTGTCCTGACCCCCACCCGTCGGAGGCCGCGGACCTTCTCTGGCTAATGGATACTGCCTGGCCAATTTGATACTGTCTTTTTGCCACCGAGAGGGATCTGCTTGGAGATTACCCCTTATGAATATCATGCCGATGAAGGGATGCAACTAATAGTGTATTGATCAAACAGGCTAGCTCTCCACGTACAGCAAACGCAACATGTTTCTCACGCCATACATGATAGGCCATGATAGCCTCTACCAGGCTTCGGGTAGCCTGTATGTCAGACCCAAAGCACACTGGACACAAAATATCTCAGGGTGCAAGATGATATTTTGTGTCCAGTGTGCTTTGGGTCTGGCATCCAGGCTAGGCTTCGGGAGGCGTCTGGAAAGAGGCGTTGGTGGGCAAGACTAACGGTACTTAGGCCACAGCAAGTAAATTTTATGGATGACATTAGCACGCGCATTAATTTTAGCCTGATTTTGGGAAAAAAAAGAAGAAATTCTGTTGCCTTCTGACAGTGGTCACCATGCCGAAAATGGGCAAAGATGTCTGATGCCATGCCGAAAGGTGGATGGCAGATAACTATAAAGAGAGGAGACAAGAAAAGGCTCTGATTTAATGTTTTGTTTCTTACTTTGATGCAGTGATATGTGATGCTGGCTGTGTATATGTGATGTTCCAACCGAATCAAACCATTTGTACAATCGGATTGAGTTGAAATTTTAAAACGTAGGAACCTTGTTTTTTTCGGCGCGCCTTGTTTTTTTTTCGCCCGATCACATTAGATTTGGAGTCTGCGGAGGATGTCATCCATAAAATTTACTTGCTGTGGTCTTAGTCCAGAACAGAACTTGTCCAAGCAGAGGTTTGGGTTGGTTTATTTTTGGCGTGTTTCTAGGATTTTTTATCGTTTTTTTTTTTTTTTGCCCTGGGATTTTTTTTTTCAGTGCAAAAAAGAAACCCCGATAAAAAAAAAAATAACAACACGTCAAAAATAAGCCAACCCAAACCAAACATCTGCTTGGAGAGTATAGGCAGACACAACCACAACCACATTCCTCTAGAGCAAAGGATTTGCCAATTTCAAGTGCGATTTAGATAAGATTGAGGATGAGTATCATTTCGTAGTCGATTGTACGTTATATAGTAATGAGAGAGATTTCCTATATTCTTATATACTAGATAAGTTCCCCAGCTTTGGACATTTAAATGAATCAGAAAAATTCATGTTTCTTATTAAACTTGACAAACCATGTAACTGTTATCATTAGTTCTATATGCTCGTACATCTATATCTGCGTCAAGAAGCGAGAAGAAGTCGAACAATGTAAATAGTATATCACATTAGTATGTATAGTTTAAGTGTCATTGCTGTATCCTTTTCCTTGTCTATTCATGACCTTTACTTAGCTTGTTAGAGCACAAACGTACAATAAAGGTCTTTCATTCTGTAAGAAACAGGAGGAGACAGTAAAAACCCCACTGGTCCCGGGTTCGAACCCACAACCTCCCGGGCCCCAGTCAGACACTCTAACCTCTCCGCTAAAAGGTCTAGACCCATTTGCCGGATCTGTTGGTAGCGCCTATAAACCCCCCACTGTTACAATTCATTCATTAAGCCAAAATGAGGAAGGGAGACAAATAAGTTCCTTGTGGCAGATCCTTATTTTCTGTCAAATTATCAGAAAGGCTACTGACCCATCGTACCCTAACAAATAAAGGACACCAGACTCTGACATCATTAATTTCTCAAACCCGATGACTGTTCTTTTGTCTCTGACCTCTGTTTGACCCCCTTTACTGGCTCCAGTCTACAGATAATTGCTCAATTAAGGATCATCATCATCATCTTTCATATTGTTTAGCCCAATAGTAATTGGATCATTAGCAGCTGAAAACGTGTTAGTTGCAAAACCAGTGACCTGTACATAAGGCCATGTTGATTTGATTATATGGATGACATCCTCCGGGAGCCCCAAAACTGATGCGCGCGTGCGAATAAAAAAAAAGTTTTGCAAAAAAAAAAGTTCTTTTCATTATGAAATCTACGTGGTCATGAGGATTGAACAAATGGGACAGAATATGGTTTGGCGAATAATCTAGTCTTCAAGTTCATTTCTTTACAATTTCGTCTTTTTTCGTTTGATTTTGGCATTCTACGGCATTGGTATAGTTTTTATTAATTTTTTTTTAACTTATGGTATATTTTTGCTCATTTTGCAACTGTTTTGTACGATTTACAGTATGGTTGAAAACTTTTTTTTTTGGAAACGGCCGAAAATTCATGCGCGCGCGGATGTCATCCATATAATCAAATCAACATGGCCTTAGTTGCAAAACCAGTGACCTGTACATAATATTAAACAATCAATGATAATCAAACATAGAGATAATACTGATAATGTGAACAAAGAGTACAAGTAATCAATCATAGGAAACAAGACATTGGCCGGGTCGTGTGGTGTAGCGGCAGAGTGCTCGACTCGGAATCAAGAGGTCACTTTACGTGACTTTCCTAACTTCAGTCCATCACTCAGGTGAAAATGAGGCACTGTATTGTCCCTTGTGTTGTCCCCCTATAAGTTGAAAAAACTTGAGTGTGCCGTCGCGTCACCACGTCTTGTGATTAGAGGTAGGAATATAAAAAAAAAGACAACGAAAACAAATAGTCAAAAGGCATATGAGGCATATGTGTTTGGAACGGAGAAAGAAATAATGTGTGTGTGTGTGTGTGTGTGTGTGCGTGCGTGCGTGCGTGCGTGTGTGTGTGTGTGTGTGCGTGTGCGTGTGTGTGGTGAGCAGGCACTCCGGCTCTGTTCTGCTACATAATGTAATCCAACACCACAGGGCGTTGCTACAGCACACGTCACCATGGTGACAGCCGTCTGGTCCAGGTCATTTACCTTTATGCGTTGGGAACGGAAGAAGAAACTGAGCAAAAAACAATATGTTCTCCTTTTGCTAAAGTATTATTTTGCCCCCGCCAATAGCAGTGAAACTTTCTAAAACACCTACCCTTTGTGGCAGAGTGCTCGACTCGGAACCAAGAGGTCCCGGGTTCGAGTCCTGACATGCCACCGATCGTTTGCCCTCGAGAAAGGCACTTTTTAACACTAATTGTCCTGTTCTGTTGGCTGACCTCTGCGTTGGTGGCTCTATCACACTGTTGAAGCTCCTTGTTGGAATTGTAACAGTGGCAGTTTATAGTCGCTACCAACTGATCCGGCCGAGGGGTCTAGACCTTTCAGCCGAATCGTTAGAGCGTCGGCATGTGGACAGGGGCCGGGTTTGGACAGTTCTCGGCGCGGGACCAGGAGTGTCTTTCTGTTTCTACTCTCCTAATCCTTACAGAATGAAAATTATATAAATAAAAACTCTCTGACGTCGATGAAGGTTAGACATCCAGGTAATACGATACGCCAAAAAGTAGTTACTCAAGCAACTGGATATGATTTTGAAAACGTCAGACGTTTCAGCTAGTATCCACTAGCTTTCGTCAGTATCACACCCACCAGCCTGTGCTTATAAACCTGCTTTCCCCTCTGGTATCTCAGTCACTGACGAAAGCTAGTGGATACTAGCTGAAACGTCTGACGTTTTCAAAATCATATCCAGTTGCTTGAGTAACTACTTTTTGGCGTAAAAACTCTCTGAACCTACCCAGTCCCGCAGGCCGCGTCCAGGATGTGGCGACACCCGTTGTCCCGGAGGATCCCGCTCAGCCACTGCCGGTAGGTGTCCGTGCGGCTGGACACGCTGCCGATGTACAGCTGCCAGACCCGGGCCGCTTTCCCGTCCGCGTACTGGTCCGGCAAACCCGAGGCACCCACACCGAGAGAACGCGTACGGTACACATCGTCAGGCATCCTGAGACTTTTTTTTTCTTATTCAGAAACACAAAGATAAGTACAAATGAGAGGGCACTGCGAAATCAAGTTAGGTACAGCTTATATTCTCGCAGCCACTTATACAATGAAAAAAAAAAGTATTTTACAAGACGTTTGAACATACATGAGACCTCGCGTGAGTAAAACCTCCCATCCCAGAAGACACATACAGCTAAAAGCGTTTTGTTCCTGAGATCTGGGCAGTCTCAAGGCTCTTCTGCACAGTTGTTCTCTTGGCATGCTTATCTCTCTATTTGGCCAATTTCTACTCTTTCCAGCCGCCTCCCCAAGCCTGGTAGAGGCTAAGTTGAAGCACGTTTGTAAAATAGGCCAAGGACAACTTGCTATGCGCCTCTTCTTTTTTTTTTGTAACTACTCTTTTCTCTAAAGCATTAGATAAAGGGATTAAGACAGGAATCGTTTAAACGACTAGTTTTTGATGGTGATAAAGAATTCTTCCAGTTCGCTGTTGGACCGTGTAAGCTACGTGTAAGAATAAGAAGACAGAAGTCATGTTTGTACTCACCTGTCTGTCACAAGAACCAGCAATGATGTCTGGAAAGGTTTCCGTCAATTCTTGATTTCCCTTATACCCCGTTACTTCAGATATCTTAGAGCGCAAGTCTATTCCTGTTCGGTCCACCACGGTAAAGCGTCAAATGGTTCCACCTGTTTTAGTATCTGAAATGGTCTTCTGGCCACAGCAAGTAATATTTATGGATGACATCAGCGCGCGCATTAATTTTCGCCTGATTTTGGAAAAAAACAACAAGAAATTTTGTTGCCTTCTGGCGGTGGTCAACATGCCGAAAATGAGCAAAGATGCATGTTGCTATATGCCGGAAGGTGGATGGCAGATAACCATGAAGAGGGGAGACAAGACAAGGCTCTGATTTAATGGTATCTTTCTTACTTTGATGCAGTGATATGTGCTGCTGGCTGTGTATATGTGATGTTCCTACTGAATCAAAACCATTTGTACAATGATTGAGTCAAAATTTTAAAACGTAGGAACCTTGTTTTTTTCGGCCCGCCTTGTTTTTTTTCGCCCGCTCGCATTAGATTTGCAATCTGCGAAGGATGTCATCCATAAAATTTACTTGCTGTGGCCTCTAGCTGCCTGTCTGAGACGCCTGGGGACGAGATTTATTGCGTACGCTCACCAGAAGAACCTGTTTTTAGTTTTTATCACTCCGTCCAGCAATGTAAGGCAGATATCACAGTTATGGTTGGCCATATATATAGGTTAAAAGGTTAAAATCCACCCCGCAACCATTTGATGGTTGCATATGGCGGTGCTCATCTCCGTTTCTGTAGCCCTTGGGCCACACAGTGCAATCACTACAGCGAGGGGGCTAGTCCACTGGTAGTGG